CTCCTTTTGATTTGGCCTCCGTGTACACTAAATGTCATTTTTATGAAATTATACTTTTGATTTATTCATATTTAATCACCCTGTGACCAAACAAGTCGCAAAATACGATTGCAAACCACCCGTGATTTATTCCGAGCTGTGGGTGGCCTTCAAAAGTACTCGCCGCAATTTTTTATTTTTTTTTCGATTTTTGATGCATTTTTCGTCGTGCATGTTGGCTTCCGCAATTTTTGTAAAACAACTATGGCTGCTACAGACGTATATGACGGAGGGTCGAAACACTTTTACGCTACTAATAGAGGGGGCCGGGAGTGCACTTGACATTACCAGTCGTATAGAGATCTCTCCGTTCAGTCTCTCTCTGCGCTCCATCTCGACGATAAGATAGGGCTTACGCTCGTCGCGTGCAATCTCACGCTGTCGAAGCTCTTATCCGCGTTCATCATCGATACGGGCAAGTTCGGCGCTAGTTGGTGACGGACTGGGCGCAGCATGAAGATAGCGTCGTCCTCTTTAACGAGTCGTCTTGAAGGACGTCAAGAGGGACAATCGCACACGTCGATGGAACGCCGACGCTTACGACACCTGCGGTTTGAACCCATGGGCTACAATCCAAGATCGATTTATGGCCCACCTCAAGTCCCTCACCACGGTGGGCGTGTACGCCTCGATGCTCACAGACATGAAGCCGCTTAGCCTTGACGAGGACTCCACAACGAAAACGTCGATGCAAGAGCTGGCGAGATATTGTGCGTTGCCGAACTGGCTCGTCGAACTATGCATTTGGTTGGTGATTTATTGTGAGCTCCAATATCAGTCCTGGTGAGTTGTTTTGAGGAAAATTGGCTCAAATTGGTGCGAGGGGGTGGTGAGTTGTTGTGCGGTTTACTACGGTAAGCTTACCGGTGTGTTGTACCATATTCACGGTGCACCCATAATTTTCTCGACGTGCCAACGACGCGACGGATGCCTTTACGTACAACCGCGCGAGCAATACAGCAGTTTGCGTGATCGCCTCGAGCATGCTCTGGTAAGTTGACGCTGTCAGCTCCACTTGCTCATCACGTGAACTTGGCTGTATGGGGTGGCTGATGGGGTGTGCTACGTTGGCCAATTGGGAGACAATAAGCCACGATGCATTCGGATTGGCCAAAATTCCTTTATCCGGTATTTCTTGCCAAAACGAAAAAGGCCGTACGCCATGGAGCTCCAAGCTGCGGTCGAGAAGATGTACGTCGGCTACGGTCACCACTCTAGCTTCACGCTGGCATTGTAGCATGTCGGATGAAGCCGTATCCGGTCTGGCGTGGCATGATGCCAAGGGTCTCTTGCTCGCCGTCGACGGCGACCTTGCCCACAGAGGCCACACCGGTCTCGGAGGCTTGGCGGCGACCGCCGACCGCGCAGAGGACCTCGGGCGCGACGCGGACGTCTCGCCAGTCATCCGCATCGAGACCTCCAAGCGCACGCTGCTCGTCCAGCGCCAAGCTGACCGCTCCGTGCTCGCGATCTCGACGCTCAAGACAGACGAGGCGTAAGCGTGGTCGCTCTTTTTCTGTTACGGTAATACGGAGCGATACGCATCGTTAAAGTCGACGCCCGTCATCGTCTTTCCTTGCAGCACCTCGATCATGCGCTTCTCAAACGCCGACGACTCGTCGCGCGCAGACCTAGAATGGATGAGCGCCAAGATGCGATTGGTTGCGACGTACCGGAGCTCGTCCATGACACCACTGAACGCCTTTGCGCGCTGTCTCGAGGTGCTTGCGGCGGTGCTATGCAGCGTGTTGGCGTTCTCTACAGCTGCACGCACGGGCGACGGTACATCAACCAGCGGTGCATCCAAAATGGACGGCGCCGCCTGCTTGGCGTACCACGAGCGCCAGTGACTTCTGGCGAGCGCCGCATAAAACGCACTGTCCGGCGTTGTCGCCATCGTCGTTGTGGGTACCGCAGTCTGCGAACCACTGCCGTTGGCAGCGGGCAACGCACGCACGGCCGACGACCCTGACACTTTGATAAAGTTGGCTTGGCCACGCGAGAGAAACCACGTGCTCAGCGGCGAGCAGTCGATGATCTGGGCCGAGCGAGGCGGTGCCGCAGTGCCAAACGCCGCGCCCCACGTAGTCCGTGCATCTTCGGGCGCTGGCATGGTTGTGGTCATTGCGTAGGTATCGTCGTCGGGTGTGACTGCACATGACGGAGTCGGGCTGCTGGGCTTTGCTGCCGTCTGCTTTTCGGGGGACGCGACGAGGCGCGGAGCATCGTGAACGACCGCAAGCGACTGCACGGGCGACAGTTTCTGTGGGCTGCAAGCTGGGCTCGTCTGGATGCTCGTGTCGTCCGCGGGGCGAGGTGATGCGAGATGTAAGGTCGGAGCGGTCTCAACCGCGGGTTCGCCGTCGTCGCCGCTGGGCAACGCCATGATCGGCGACGTGGCGCACGTGGCGGGACTGCCCATACTGCCTTCCACTTCCATGGCCTCCGTGCTGTAGCCTGCAACTGCATCCACCGACAACGGCGCAGTCCATTGGGGGTCGAGATCGTCCAACTCGTCATCCTCGGAGGCCCAGTCGTTGGTCATGGCGACGCTGCCTTCTGTGACGGTGTCGTCGTCATTGTGGTGCGCCACGTTTTCGATCTCGTCTTGATCTTCGTCGTCGCTGTCGTCGAGCACGATCACGTCGCTGTCGTCGGCATCGCTTGCGTCATCGCCATGTGCCGGGGCATCTGAGGCGCTGTGGTCGATGCTCTCGGCGTGTGGCGAGGACGGAAGCGACAAGATATCGACGGCGTCGTCGCTCATAGAGACCGAAGCATCGTGGCTCTCGAACGCATCCATGATGCTTGCGAGGAGCGAGTGCGCGTTCGTGCCCAATGGGTTTTCATGCGGCGCCAGATCTTCCTCTTCGAGACTTGCAGCGCTCGGCTTGGGGCTCGGCTTGGGGCTTGGCTTGGGGCTTGGCTTGGGGCTTGGCTTGGGGCTTGGATCGCGAGGGACATGCACAGACGACGTCGGAGCAGGTGGTTTTTCCTCGTCGTCGTCGTGGCTCGAGGCGGCATGCGCAGGCTGCTGAGGCAGTCGCTTTTGCTTTTTCGAGAGCCCACTTGTTGACAGCACGACAGTGCTCTTAGATGGGAGGACACCCGTGTCGGACGCAAACCGGCGCTTTCGAGCCTGCGCCAGCGCAAGGGCCGCGGCCTCCTTGGACATTGACACTGTCGCGCTCGCCGCCGCTGTGGTCGCGACTTTGCGCACTTTGGCGGCTGCTGCCGGCATCTTTATCGAGATCACTTTGACCATTGCCGGCTTGACGGGGGCCGCCTTGACAGGAGCCGCCTTGGCTGGGGCACTTGCGGCAAGCGGAATCTTCGCCGCCGTGTCCGCAGCGGCGTTGGGAGAGACAGCCGGTGTGAACACAGCCTTGTTCTTGGCCTTCTTCTTCTTCTTCTTCTTCTTGGCGCCTTCCTCGCCTGGACCGGACGCGATCTCGGCTAGCGGCTTCGTCTCTGTCGCGGGCGCTGGCGGTAGCTTGACGGGCGCGACGACTTGCGCAGCGCTGGGGTTCTTTGGCCCAGCCTTGGCTTTCTTTGCTGGTGGAGCTTGTTCCTTGCCATCAGCGACCTCCTTCAGCCCTTGCTTGGCCGGTGGCGTGTAGAGCGGTACAGCCGCTCGGTTCTTGCGCTTCTTCGCTCGGCTGCCGGTCCGCCCGCCCGCCATCTTGATGGAATATCCGGATATACTACGGTGGTATCCGACAAGTGACTAGAATCACGCAACCTATGTGCCGACATGGCGCTCTCTCGGTGTGACCGCATGCGCGACGTCAAACCACTCTGCTTGGCAGGCATGGATCCCAAAGCCAACCGCCCTTGGTAGCTAGCCGCTGCTGTATACAGCCACACCGTGCGAGCAGACAATGGCCGCCATTGAGAAGAACAAGCTGCGCAGAGCTAGAACGTGTGCTCGATTAGCGCGCCACTGTCGATCGCCATCATATTGGACTCCGTTGGTGCACAACGCACTTCTGGCACATCGAAGGAGCAGCTTGACCGGCTCCACGGGCTTTGTGCAAAGCGTGAGAACATTAGCGACGTTTGGCATGTTGGAATTTCTCTTACTAGTCGTCGCTCATGATTGAGGTACACACGGATTTGCGGACATCGACATACACAACCAGATACACCCGATGCGTTTTCTCTATCACCAAATCAAAACCCATTTGAGCGAGTTACGCGCTGCGCTTCTCTTTAAGCATACTTGTACATAATGTTAGCATGCTCGTGCCGAATGCTGCCTCGACGCAACGTCGAATATCGGCTCTTTTCGTTCCAATCTTTACGAATGATCACAAAACGATTCCTGAAGTATGATTAGCCTTACCCGGACTTGACAGTACGTGAATCGAATGTCCGTTCTTGCCTGTGCCGAAAACAACACCCTCAACGCAAAAAACGTCACTGGGATACCTTGCTATTGATCAATTAATTCGCATTTTTGACCAATCAATCACATCTTCAAAAACGGAATGATGGCTAGTCCACCACGACGCCAGGCGGCGCGTTCACCCCGAACCGCGTCGAAAATGAAATCGCTGAAACTTGGCACAATAGTAGAGGACACTTCGGAGGAAACGAAAAGCCAAGCGACATCGACGTTTGAGGTCTAGAGTTGGAGCTGCGCAGCGTGGAATTTTTATTGGTGGTAATAGCCATAAATAACCACTTTTTACCATATTTATATCCACAGCGCCGACTCCGGGCACAGTGGTCGCGCAAATTGCATTTCGAAATGAAATTGCTCATACTTGGCATAGTGGTAGAAGGTGCTTCGGAGGGCACGAAATGCTATGCTACATCGACAGCTGAGGCCTGCAGCGGGAGCCACACCCCACCAAACATTTATTTGTGTTGTTCGCCATGTTTAACCACATACTGCCAGATTTATGACTGTCACATCCAAACGTCGCTCGAATAACAAATGCTGGCCTCAAGTACGATGCCAAAGAACTGGTGTTTCAAGCACCGGCCAAACTGCATGATGCAAAGGATACTTCGCGCTATACGCACAACTGCCTCACACAACTAAACATTCATTCCTTGGGCGTCACCATAGTGCTAAAATCGGCGTCAATGCTGGCGCGTCTGTTCTGCTCAAGCTCCACCACCAAGCGATCGCCGTCGTCGCGGCCCTTGCTTCGCTCAACGGCCTTCTTGGCCTCTTCAGGCCAGTTGGACTTGTACGTAAAGTAGACGCCGAGGACGGTTGTGACAATGTACCCCACGGACATGCCAACCCAAATACCGAGAAGGCCAAGACCAACGGGAAAGCCAAAGACGTACGCACCGGGAACACCAACGACCCACGCACCAATGAGGAACGAAGACATGATGGGCAGAGTCCGCGCCTGCGCTTGCAGCGTCGCCTACTCGGCAAATAAAATGTGAGAAACCCCATGCGGAGAGAGAGCGACGCACCATCGCGTAGTAGAAGAGGGAGAGGATGATGTAGCCCGCAGCAGCGAGCGTGCTAATGGACGTCATGCTGCTGACGACGGCGTCGTCTGTGGAGAAGATCTTGCCGACATACGAGCGTGCGCACAGCCACGGGATGACGATGAGCACCGAGAGCCCAAAGATACCGTAGAACACCAGGTGGCTCGTGGCTTTGGCTGCCTGGGGCTTGCCCGCGCCGAGGTACATGCCGATGCGCGTCGAGCCGCCGTCGATCATGCCGTAGATGGGTGACGTGAGGAAGAAGATGAGCTCCATCATCGAGTTGCTGGCACCGAGTGCGACCTCGCTCGTCATGGCCGCAAAGATTGACATGGTCTGGAGCTGGAGGTTCTCGACGAGCTGACCGATGACCATGGGGCCGCCGACCTTGAGCATCGGCTTGAGGTAGAGCTGCCGGTTCATAAACGCGCGATCCCAGCTCCACGACGACGCGTGCTGCTTGCGGTACGCAAACATGTAGAGCGCGAACGCGACGAGCCGGCTATAATGCGTGATGGTCATCGCAATCGGAGCGCCAATGAGGCCGTAGCCTGCAAAGCCCGTCGACGCAAGACCAAATACGAGCACAGAGACGAGGCCGACGTTGAGGACGGTGAACGTCACGGCAAAGATCGCTGCGGGCAGCACGTTTTGCATCGACTTGAAGTAGACGCTGAGGACTTGGAAGAGAAGGCGCGGAAGCAGCCACGGCATTGAGTAGTGCGCGTAGTCCTTGGCGTGCACGACTGTCGCGTCCGAGATACCCGCTGCATGGAGGATGTCGCCGCAGAACCACCAGAGAATGGCGATCGGGATGCAGGCGAGCGTGATGCAGAGGCAGTTCATCTGGCAGTAGCGCCCGATGAGCGCGAGGTTCTTGGCGCCAAACGCTTGCGCCGAGAGCGACGCCTGCCCGACGACAAAGCCGGAGGCAAAAATGAGAATGGTGATGTCAAAGATCATTTGTGAGTACGCAACGGCCGTGAGCTGCGCGGCGCCGAGGTGGCCTGCGGCGACGAGGACTGTCATGGACATGCCAAACATGGCGAGGTTCGAAAAGAGGATCGGCGTCGCCAGGCGCGCGAGCGCTTTCACCTCGCTTTTCGCGGAGAAGGGCATACCGGACTAAACGGCTACTGCGAACAGCAATAAGAAAGCTCAAGTGCCAGCCACCTTCGTCTCCGTCTTTTACACAGGCCATCCGTAACGTGCGTGGTAGCTGGGAGAGGTGTAATTTGACGCGCCATCCATCACTGCTTCAGGACCTCCTTCAATTCTTTCTCGTCTGGACGGCCCAGATTCGGTCAATTCGTCGTTACGATGGACCAATCCTGTGGCCTGAAAAGGCTCTAATACATTGATCAAGATTTGAAACGACAAAGTTTAACATGACATCATGTCTTTCTGCATTATCTGGTCGGGTGGTTGCTGTCGCCATGGCGTCGAAAGCCGCAGGTGGCCCGTCTCGCGTCCTGGGAGTGGTGAGCGTGCCCGTGCTTGTGAGCTGTGCTCGCGGATTCTAGGTACACGATTTGATCTTTTCCTTTCTGGGCACGCTGCATGACCAGAAATAGAAGCGAAATACACTGAGCTCGAGTACCGGTACGCAGGCACAAACTTTTTGTACAGTGTAAGATGAGCGCGTCAACACGACAGAAGCAGAGGGATCATACTAAATACCGGTATGACGCACGAATGAAGCTCTACGCACGATTGACATACCAGTTTACATTTCAACTCATGCGAACGCAGTGTTAGGACAGGATTCCACCTTCCCACGAAGGATGCCATCAAGGGATAATATCTCCCTTGGATGCCACCAAGGTTGCAGTTGGTCGACCGGCAAGTGATGTTCGAAGCGCTTCCTCTGCCACGTGATCGAGGTACACCTTCCTACACACCTCTCGATTTATTTTACTACTAGTTCATAATAAAAACAAGGTTAAACATTTTCATTATTTTAAAGTCTCACACGAAGGTAGGGGGACCCCAAAGAAAGTGATGTTCAGACACGCGCTTGGAAATCGACACCGCACTGTGCTGATGCTGCTGCGACGGTTTGAACGGGCCTTCTCGACCCGCGCGCCCAAGCTGCGCGACCTCGTCGTCCTGGCACCTGGTGTAGCTGAGCGTCATGGTCTCGCAGCAGGTGATGTCGCCAAGGTTATCTTGCACGACGTCAAAGATGCGTCGACACCGTACCGACTGCAAATCCCCAACAGCCTCGAGAAGCCTTGGTTCTCCAGCGCCGACATTGTGTTGGCCGATCCCGAAGCTCTGCAGCCTGCGCCCGAGCCGCCAGGAGACCACGAGTGCTGTGGCTCAAGCTGCCCCAACTGCGTTTGGATCCGTCATTGGGCCGAGTGCCAAGAGTGGGAACTCGAGCAAAAAGCCGCGTAAATACAAAATACACACCGTAGAGGGACCTTCCCGATCGCAGCCCATGACTAGCACGTCCCCCCACCTTTGGTTACTGATTTACCTTCGATACTCGGCGCTCGCAACGTCGCATCAAGACGATTCTCGACAAAAGTGGTGATTGCATTTGCCTTCTCCGACGCGACTATGTGGGTCGATGGAGAGACGGCGCGTTACTCGTGGCGTCGCGCGCAAGCGTTGTCGTCGCATCGACGGGGCTGTCGGCGATCCCAGCGTAGCCTTCCTCCAGCGCAGCAGCGCTTGCCGGCTCTAAACTGCTGCATTTGACGGCGCTCCGCTCGACAGCTTTCTTGGCCTCCTCTGGCCAGTCCGATTTGGATGTAAAGTAGACGCCGAGCACCGTCGTGACGATGTAGCCAACAGACATGCCGATCCAGATGCCGAGGAGACCGAGGTTGACGGGGAAATCCAAAACGTACGCCAGTGGCACGCCAACGATCCAAGCGCCGACGAGGAACGAGACCATGATTGGGAGTGTTCGGGCCTGTGCTTGCAGCGTTGCCTACACACATTGATCAACAACTTTGTCTCATCGCGCCGTCAAACCATAGCGTAATAGAAGAGCGACATGATGATGTAGCCCGCGGCGGCCAAGGTGCTGATGGTCGTCATGCTCTGGACGACTGTTTCGTCGGACGAGAAGATGCGCCCGATCGAGGACCGCGCGCAGAGCCACGGCACCACGATGAGGACGCAGATGCCGAAAATACCGTAAAAGACCAAGTGACTCGTGGCGCGCGCGGCGTGTGCCTGGCCAGCGCCCAAGTGCATGGCGATCCGCGTCGCGCCGCCGTCCATCATGCCAAAGATGGGCGACGTGAGAAAGAAGATGAGGTTGAGCATCGAGTTGTTGGCACCGAGGTCGACCTCGCTCGTCATGGCGGCAAACACCGCCATGGTTTGGAGCTGGAGGTTCTCGACGAGCATGCCGAGGGCGAGCGGCCCCCCGACGCGCAGCATCGGCACCAAGTAGAGTCGCGGGCTGAGACCGCGCACCGCCCAGTTCCACGACGAAGCATGGTGCTTCTTGTACCCAAACATGTAAGCAATGTACGCGATCGTGCGGCCATAGTGCGTCAGCGTCAGTGCCAGCGGCGCTCCAACGAGGCCGTAGCCCACAAAGCCCGTCGACGGAAGTCCAAAGACCAAAAGGACAACGAGGCCGGCGTGCAGCACGGTGAACGTCACGGCAAAGATCGCTGCGGGCAGCACGTTTTGCATCGACTTGAAGTAGACGCTGAGGACCTGGAAGATGAGGCGCGGGAAGAGCCACGGCGTCGAGTAGTGAGCGTACTCTCTCGCAAAGCGCACCGTCTCGTCCGAGATGCCACCGGCGCGCAAAAAGTCGCCGGTAAACCACCAGAGGATGCCAATGGGAATGCACGCCAGCGTGATGCAAATGCAGTTCATTTGGCAGTAGCGGCCAACGAGCGGTAGGTTGCCAGCGCCAAAGGCTTGGGCCGACAGCGCTGCTTGCCCCGAAATGAAGCCGGACGCGAAGACGAGAATGGTGATGTCAAAGAGCATTTGGGCGTACGCGACGGCCGTGAGTTGCGCCGACCCGAGGTGCCCCGCCGCCATCAAGACCGCCATCGACATGCCAAACATGGCGAGGTTCGAGAAGAGGATCGGCGTCGCGAGGCGCGCCAGGGCCTTGACCTCGTGCCGGGCCGAGAACTCTGCCATCGTGTGCGAGAAATATGCAATGGGCTTTTTGCTATAGTGTACATTCGTGCATGGACAGAGAACCCGTGAAAGAAAGGCTTGCTGAGCGTTGGTCGTGGTGGACATCGGAATGATCCGTGCTAAGGACACCTCGTGCAAGCGACGCACGATATTCTACCACGCAGTCCAACCCTGGTACCGACAGCACTGGCGCGATCGCAAATAGCTTTGATGGGAATCGATCTCCCCATGTGGGAATGCGTGCGGGCGGTCGTGACACGCGATGTGACTCCTCTCGTCCATGACGTGACCAATGCCCTGAGAGCTATCGTGTCTATGACCCACTCGCACTTTCTCTCGGTGCAGCCGTTGGATCACGGCAAAGTCATCGAATCATTGTGTACTTTGCACGGTTTACGCCTAGAACGAAAAGAATCGCAGTTCGAGTTGAGGACAAATCAAAATGGACGCACCAACCAACCGCGTGCATGACGCCTTTTTCTCTACGTAAAAGAATAGTTGCATTTTCAATCTTCCCAATCGGGCGCGGTGGGCTCGACGGGGCGAGGCTCCTCGAGCACTTTTGTGGCTTCAAAGTCGGCAAGAAACGGCTCGGACTCGTCGCTGTCTTTTGTTTTGCTTCGCGCGACGGCCTTCCGCGCTTCGTCGGGCCAGTTGGACTTGGTCGTATAGTATACGCCGAACGCTGTCGTGACGAGATATCCGAGGCTCATGCCGAGCCACACACCGTAGAGCTGGTGGTGCAGCGGAAATGCAAACACATACGCCATGGGCACACCGACGAGCCAAGCACCGATAAGGAACGAGATCATGATTGGCAGCGTCCGTGCTTGGGCCTGCAGCGTGGTCTAAGGCGCATGCTTATACACAAAAAGGGCCATTCTGAGGGTACCATGGCATAGTAGAAGAGCGAAAGGACGATGTAGCCGCCCGCCGCCAGCGTGTTAATGGTCGTCAGACTGTCGATGATGGCGGGATCGCTCGAAAAGAGCTTGCCAATGATCTTGCGTGCGCACAGCCACGGGATGACGATGAGCACCGAGAGCCCAAAGATACCGTAGAACACCAAGTGGCTCGTGGCTTTAGCGGCCCGGGGCTTGCCCGCGCCGAGGTACATGCCGATGCGCGTCGAACCACCGTCAATAATGCCATAAATCGGCGACGTGAGGAAGAAGATGAGCTCCATCATCGAGTTGTTGGCGCCAAGTGCGACCTCGCTTGTCATGGCGGCAAAGATGGCCATCATCTGAAGCTGGAGGTTCTCGACGAGCATGCCGACGACCATGGGGCCGCCGACCTTGAGCATTGGCGTAAGGTACCGTGGACGGTTCATAAAGGTACGATCCCAGCTCCACGACGAGACGTGGTACTTTTGGTGGCCAAACATGTAGATGGCGTATGCAACGAGGCGGCTGTAGTGCGTGATGGTGAGTGCGATCGGCGCGCCGGCGAGCCCGAATCCGCGAAAGCTCATGTGCGGCAGGCCAAACACAAGAGCGACGACGAGGCCAACGTTAAGCACCGCAAACGCGATGGCAAAGACGGCTGCTGGCATGACGTTCTGCATGGACTTGAAGTAGACGGTGAGCACCTGGAAGACGAGGCGGGGCCACAGCCACGGCGTGGAATAGTGCGCATACTCTCTCGCAAATTCGATTGTCGCGTGCGAAACCCCCGCAAGACGGAGGATGTCGCCAGTGAACCACCAGAGGACTCCGATTGGCAGGCATGCGAGCGTGACGCAGAGGCAGTTCATTTGGCAGTAGCGGCCGATGAGCGCAAAGTTCTTGGCGCCAAACGCTTGTGCCGAGAGCGTCGCCTGGCCTACGACAAAACCGGACGCAAAGACAAGGATCGTAATGTCAAAGAGCATCTCCGCGTAGGCGACGGCCGTGAGCTGCGCAGGGCCGAGGTGGCCCGCGACGACGAGGACCGTTATCGACATGCCAAACGTGGCGAGGTTCGAAAAAAGGATCGGCGTCGCCAGGCGCCATAGCACGCGCATCTCGTTGCGCGCCGAGAATGGCATCGTTGTCGCGAGTCTTCCACTGTGTTCTTATTGTGCCAACCGGCGCGATCTTTTTCGGTTGCATCCGGATCGTTTGCGTGAGTTTGCCTTTGAACGTCGAGATGGACATTAGTGTTCCCACCATTATTATAATACTGTCCACATATATTAGTATATCCTCTATGTTAATCGCGATACTCTACGAGTGTTCGTAGCGCACAATGTTGGGCGTCGGAAAGTCCATGCCCTTGACGCTCTCCTCGATGACGAGCATCGGCAGTCGCGTCTGTGTCGACTTGGGCGCGATCTCGATCACGACAAACTCCGTGTCGTCGCCGCCGCGGGCCTTGCAGCGCGCCGCAGCCTTCTTCGCCTCCTTCTCCCAGTTGGACGTGCACGTAAAGTAGACGCCGAGGATCGTCGTGACCAAGTAGCCGACGGCCATGCCAATCCAAATGCCGAGGAGACCCATCTCGACAGGAAAGCCAAAGATGTATGCGCCGGGGACGCCAACGACCCATGCGCCAATGAGGAACGAGCCCATGATGGGCAGTGTCCGCGCCTGCGCTTGCAGCGTAGCCTAGACAAACCTTCATCAGCACAAGAAGAGGCTCGAAGCGGGTACCATGGCGTAGTAGAAGAGCGACATGATGATGTAGCCAACAGCAGCGAGCGTGCTGATCGACGTCATGGTCGCAATCACATGCGCGTCGGTCGAGAACAAATGCCCGATCACGTTGCGCGCGCAAAACCACGGCACCACGATGCCGATCGAGAGGGTCACGATTCCCGCCAGCACGAGCAGACTCGTGGCTTTGGCGGCTTGGGCGTGGCCTGCGCCGAGGTGCATGCCCATGCGCGTCGAGCCACCGTCGATCATGCCGTAGATCGGCGACGTGAGGAAGAAGATGAGCTCCATCATCGAGTTGTTGGCGCCAAGCGCGACCTCGCTTGTCATGGCGGCAAAGATCGACATGGTCTGGAGCTGCAGCGTCTCGACAAACTGGCCAATGATCATGGGGCCGCCGACCTTGGCCATGGGCACAAAGTACTGCTTGACATTGAGGAACGATCGGTCCCAGCTCCACGACGTGGCGTGCAACTGGCGGTGTTGGAACATGTAAAACGCGAACGAGAGCGTCCGCGCGTAGTGCGTAAAGGTCATGGAGGCGGCCGCACCCGCGAGACCAAAACTGCGGAGCCCGATGGCAGGCACGCCGTGCGCCAAGGCGACACTAAGACCGGCGTTGAGAATGGTGAAGAGGACGGCAAAGACGGCAGCTGGCATAACGTTCTGCATCGACTTGAAGTAGACGCTGAGCACCTGGAAGAGGAGGCGCGGAAGGAGCCACGGCGTCGAGTAGTGGGCGTACTGCGCCGCGTACGCCGCTGTCTCGTGCGAGATACCGGCAAGCCGGAGAATGTCGCCGGCAAACCACCAAAGCGCGCCGATCGGGACGCAGGCGAGCGTGACGCAAAGACAGTTCATTTGGCAGTAGCGACCGATCAAAACGAGGTTCTTGGCGCCGTACGCTTGCGCCGAGAGCGTTGCTTGGCCCACGATGAAGCCGGACGCGAAGATGAGGATCGTAATGTCAAAGAGCATTTGGGCGTACGCGACAGCCGTGAGCTGCGCCGACCCGAGGTGCCCCGCGACCATGAGCATGGTCATCGACATGCCAAACATGGCGAGGTTCGAAAAGAAAATGAACCCGGCCGCGAAGACGAGAATGGTGATGTCAAAGAGCATTTGGGCGTACGCGACGGCCGTGAGTTGCGCCGACCCGAGGTGCCCCGCCGCCATCAAGACCGCCATCGACATGCCAAACATGGCGAGGTTCGAGAAGAGGATCGGCGTCGCGAGGCGCGCAAGGGCCTTGAGCTCGTCGGCGCGCGAGAATGGTTTTTCCATGTTGGTGCAAGCGCAAAAGTGACGGAATGCGCCATTGCCTCAAGCGTGGGACGCACCGAACGTAGGTGCAACCTGGTTTTTTGGCGCCACCAGTTTGACAGCGTACCACCCAAGTCGAATTGCATGAGACACGAGCGCCAAGAGGACCTGCCGAATGCCCGTTTTTTTACGGGGCGCGCTTTGGTCCTTTTGTGCGCTGGTAGCGCCTTGCGCTCGCCACCGAGGTGCGCGTCGGGCGTTCTATGGGTGGCGAAGGCGAGGCGATCGCATCACGATCGGCGACGACGCAGGTGCCAAGATCGGCCCTACACGGTACTCTGTGCACGCAGGATTGGGTGCGTTCACGTCAAGCTAGGACTTTTAACCAATCAGAGGCTGGCATATGGATAGGTCGCGCAGGTTGAAGAGGGTTGTGGCATCTCGCTCTACGTACGAGTCGGCCAGACGGCGATACCTTCTGTGCGCTGCTGGACAGCACCGGTACAGGTCGGCTTCCTCTTCGTTCGACGATAGTCGTACACGAGTAGCTTTGCGCTTGGATGACATTGACGGCGCGGCGACATGCTTGCGCACGACGGTCGGCTGCGACGCTGGCATCTGAGAACGACTTTTCCTTCTCGAAGCATGCACTGCAATAATACATTGGGCCGTCCACGAAGGCTGTTGACCTGTTATTACACGAACTTGGTGGTCTCGGTCGCGGGGTGCTGCTTCCTGGCACTGCGCTCGACGGCCTTGGCCGCTTCCGCCGCCCAGTCGGAGCGCTGCGCATGGTAAAACCCGATTGCTGTCGTCGCAGAGTACCCGAGCGCCATGCCGATCCAGACGCCGAGGAGCCCGAGCTCGAGGTGCACGCCAAGCACGTACGCGGACGGGACGCCGAGGAGCCACGCGCCGCAAATGAACGCCACTACACAACAACGCGCATGGGCCGTGATGACCATGACGACACAACGTACGCATGACGGGCACGGCCTTGGCTTGTGCGCGCAGCGTGGCCTAGCGGACATCGTTGGTGTAGATGGTGGCGCCAACGCAGTAGTGTACCATCGAGTAGTAGAACACGGAGAGCGCCATGTACCCGCCGGCGGCCACGACCGTGATCGTGGCCATCGCTTCGTGCACGGCGGCGTCGTTCGAGTAGACGTGGCCAATCACGTGTCGCGAGAGCATCCACGGCAGCGCGATGACGGCCGACATGCTGAAAATACACGCAAACAATAAGTGGCTCACGTCCTTGGCCTTGGTCGGGTTGCCCGCGCCGAGGTACATGCCCATGCGGTTCACGCCCGCGTCCGTGAGGCCGTAGATGGGCGACGTGAGGAAGAAGACGAGCTGCATGGTCGCGTTGTGCGCATCCAGCGAGATCTAAATTTGTTGTGAAAAAACACACAAGCTCGGACTACCTCGCTGCACATGGACGCAAAGAACGCCATGGTCTGAAACTGTGCGTTCTCAAAGGCTTGGCCGAGCATGAGCGGGACGCCGATGGCCACGAGCGTCTTGATGTAGCGCGCGTCGAGAAAGTCCCAGCTCCAGCTCCACGCATGCCGGTGGTACCCGCGGAGGTGCGTCATGTACGTCAGAAAGCCCAGAAGCCGCAGCGACTGCGTCACGACCATCGCGAGCGGGCATCCGACAAAGCCGAGGCCGGCCATGCCAAAGCCTCCGTGCACGAAGAAGACGCTCAGCAGCGCATTGAAGAGCACTGCTGTGAGCGAGCAAACCGCAGAGGGCAAGACGATCTGCTGCGCTTGGAAAAAGACGGTCGCGGCCTGAAACATGAGCCGCGGCCAAAGCCAGAGGATCGAGATGCGTGTGTAGAGGCGCGCGAGCTCAATGCTTTTCGGGTCGACGCCACGGACGATGTAGAGTGCGTCGGCGCAGACCCACCAGATGCACGCGATCGGGACGCAGGCAAACGTCAAGCAGAGGCAGGTCGTTTGCGTGTAGCGCCCGATGAGCGCAAAGTTCTTGGCGCCAAACGCCTGCGACGCGAGCGCGTCGAGGCCCTTGTTGAAGCCTTGCGTGAAGATGATCAAGGTGAAGTCGAGCACGAGCTGCGCGTACGCGACCGCCGTGAACTCGGTGGTGCCAAGGTGCCCGGCGACAATGAGCTCCGTCATCGAGAGTGCGAAGAAGCTCATGAGCGACACGAAGATCGGCAGCGCGAGCCGCAGCAGCGGCGTGATCTCGTCGCGCAGACTCGTTGACCAGAATCGGCCCATGCTGCAGCTGATTGTACACTACGACCGCGAGCAACCGAACTGTCACGCTTGGGCGAGACGACCCGCAATCGACCTTGCATCATGTATACCATACAAAATGCAAGATGGGACGTCGGCGACGTTCCGCAGTTGGGGCAGAATCGAGCGCAGTGCAAGTGGTGACACGATGCACCGCGCCAAATCCCTAGCTGCATGTGACTTTAGCTTGAACGGCCAGCGCGGTAAGATCGCCGGGCTGCATGTCTATGGTCGCTTGCGGTGCCGAGCATTGACGGGGCGTGGACACCGTTACTGTCGATAGGTTGATACCCCGCCTTGATATTTACATCGTCACGACGAGTGAGCAGCAAGGTGCTTGCGGACCTGCGAGGTTTTATTACGGCATGGTGCATGGGGCATGAGGACTCAGGCTTTGCCTCGTTGCACGAATGAAGCAAGAACCATGTCATTTGGCAGGCGTAGTGAGGTCTGCCATGGCCGCCGGCCAAGGGTTACCGGTGTGCACTTGCGGCTCGTACGGTAGTACGTGCACAACCCTAGTTGCACGCAGATGCTAGACCACAGGCCTCGCTGGAGCCCATTCTAAAGTTATTTGTTCAACTGCCGCGCAAAGCTGATCCTAACATACATGCCTGCCATTCCTCAATCTTGGATTTTATGCGAGGAGCTCTTCCTGCATTGAAGTTATCGAGTTGCAATGTTGGGCGAAAAGCTGGAGCTGCACTTTTCGAGGTTGAGGGGCACGTTGTCGGATCCCACTGTCTCTACTTCAACAGCTAACAGCGTGCTGCTTGCATCGTTCAGTGTTTGCTGCAGTAGATCGCTGCGGTAGGCGTCATTGCGAGATCGAACGCAAGCCACCGCCACGTGCCATGCAGAGAGCTCTCGGCGTAGTACGAGTACCCAGAACTGCAAGTAGCAACCTTCTGCCTTTCTCTGCGGTTGAAGTCGCGCCAGTCAATTGCTACGGTTATCATCACATACGTTTAGAGAGGTTTTGCACCCAGGAAAAAGAACCCGCAATGCCCGTTTCCACTAACGCATGAACGCCCAACGCCGGTCACGCGCGTGCCTGCATCGAGAACGGTCTTGTAGTGTGATGTGCACGGAGTGGGCTATCATGGCCACTGGGTGGGGCGCCAAACACACGTGGCAGCGTGCGGCGTCGAACGTGGCATGTATGTATTGTGAGAGGTTTTGGATCGCGCCGGTTCGGATTGGTCGAATTTCAGCCAATGGAAGGCGGCACGTCGGCTCGGCGGTTGGTGGTGGGGAAGTGAGAGCTGGCCTCGGGATATCGTTGGCCGTAGTTTCACTCAGGAAATTCCACCTACTACCATGGTAAGCAGGCTCGTCGCCGACGGTGGCCGCTGAGGGGGCCACCGGCGCCAGCGTGTGAATGGGCATTGACGGCGTCATGGGCGTAGGCTTCCAAGAACATCTTCTCGTACCTCGACTCTGACGACGAAGACTCGAAGAAGGTGCAGGCGCCCCCGGCCCCCGTCGCCGCTGAGAAGCCCAAGACGGTCAAGCCCCGCAAGGAAGGCGAGAACAAGAAGCCCGAGGGCGCCAAGGGCGGCCGCGGTGCTGGCCGTGACGGCGGCCGTGGCGGCCGTGGCGAGCGTGGTGAGCGCAAGCCCCGCGCCGATGGCGAGCGCAAGCCGCGTGCTGATGGCGAGCGCAAGCCCCGCGTCGAGGGTGAGCGCAAGCCCCGCACCGACCGCCCGGAAGGCTCGACCGGCACCAACCTCCGCAACGAACGCGAACGCGGTGAGCGCCCGGACCGCTCGCACGCCCACCAGGGTGAGCGCGGCGACCGCCCGAAGCGCTCGTTCGACCGCCGCAGCGGCACGGGCCGTGGCAAGGAAGTCTCCAAGTCGGGTGGCGGTGGCCACAACTGGGGCAACGAGGCCGACAAGTCGGAGCAGGCTGCCGAGGCCGAGATCCAGGAGGGTGTCGTCGCTGACGAGGCCGTCGAGGAAGTCGCCGAGGTCGTTGTCGAGGAAGAGGAGAAGACCTTGACGCTCGACGAATACCTCGCCCAGAAGAAGCAGGCCCGCTCGTCGAACGAGCTCTTCGGCGAAGTCGAGATCCGCGCCGTCGCGAACGAGTTCTCGGACGCTGCCCTCCTCACCAAGGACGGCAAGACCCCCGACTTCATCGAGTCGTCGTACGAGAAGGTTTTCACCAAGAAGACTTCGGGCCGCAAGAAGACGCTCCTCACGGACGTCGGCTTTTCCGTCGCCCCTGTCTCGGCCCCCCGCGAGGAACGTGAGGGTGGCCGTGGCGGCCGTGGTGGCCGTGGTGCCCCCCGCGAGGGTGGCCGTGGCGCCGGCCGTGACGGTGGCCGTGGCCGTGGTGCCGCCGCTGCCCCCAAGAAGTCGTCGAAGGCCCCCAACGTCGCCGACACGAACGCTTTCCCTTCCCTCTAAGCGCCCACTCGGTGCGAGGAGATGCCCAAGCAGAGCGGTCAGTAGGTGACGGGAAGAGGAACGCCTTTGCTTGGAAGATGTTTGATGATAAGTGCAAGGCCTAGTCTGATAGATTAGCATTAGGCGGCGCATTTATTATAATATCTATTTGCGTAAATGGAAGCCGCGTTCCCCATCTCGCGCCTTGTACTCTGCAGCGTTGACGCGGGCTGGCAAGCAATGCAGGCACCACCCGAGATTCGCCGCTGCCATCAAAAACGAGCAAGTCGGTCGTCTCGAGCCGGGTTAGGGTAGTTTGGTTACGGCGCCGGTCCCATCAACCGCACGCTTGAAAGACTGCAACACTCACCGTTGCACTTGGTATGCGTGTGCCTTTCGCTTGGTAAGCGTGTGGATTATTACATGCGCGACGTTCATCGTTGATCGCTCACCTTGACCGCTTGCGTCATGAAAACGGTCCCAGACCCTAGTCCTACGCGTACATTCTCATAATTGTCTCTTTCCGCGGAGACTGCCCGCAGAAGCCCAGGTTATTTCGGCGCAATCGAGACACATTTGACAAAAGGATGACGCCGAGCGATAGATCGAGCAATCGACGCCGATGTAGGGACACCAAGGGAACGCCCTGTGGCCGTGTGGCTGCCATTTTTCAATTGTACCGCGGCGCCTCGAATTGAATATGCCAAAGCTAACGGTCGGCGTTCTCCTCTTTGACGGCTACACCATCCTGGACGTTGCTGGTGCGTCATTTTGCAGCGTTGTCGCCGTGACACTGCGTCTAGGACCATTGCAGCTCTTCGACATGCTGCCGGACCTGTTTGATACCGTCACGATCTCTCAGGAGGCGGGCACGATCTGGACCAACCCGCCGATGGCTGGCACGCCCATGGTGGCTTCGCACAGCTTCGAGTCGGCGCCGCGTGTCGACATCCTCTTGCTCCCTGGTAAGCCTACAAACTGTTTTGAGCTCGACTTTGAATGGCTCTTGCGTGTAGGGGGCCTCGGCACGGACGTGTTTGCCAAAGATCCTGCGTACCTCGCTTTTGTCCGCGCCCGGGCGGCATCCGCAACGTATGTTTTGAGCGTTTGTACGGGCTCGAGCTTTCTCGCAGCGTCTGGGCTTCTCGACGGGAAGCGCGCGACGACGAACAAGCTCGCCTTCCAGCACATCCAGAGTTTTGGCTCGAGCGCCATCCAGTGGGTCAAGCAAGCGCGGTGGGTCGTTGACGGCAACATTTGGACGAGCTCTGGCGTCACGGCGGGCATTGACATGGCGGCGGCGTTCTTGACGGCCGTGGTTGGCATCGAAAGAGTCCAGCCGATCCTGGAGCTCATCGAGTATGTGCCCAGCACAAACGAGTCGCACGATCCATTCTCGTACCTCACCGAGCATGACCACTGGGCGGCGATCAACAAGGCGCCGTAATCCTCAAGCACCACGACGGCAGAAGTTTGCGCCGCATCAAATGAATACATCGATCTATCTAGTTACGCTATACTGTACTGTGTTTGTGTTTGGGACACAAGCCGAGTCTTCCGGGGACGCTTGACAATAGTGATTCAAAGATGAGCGGTGTCAAGCCTGTTGCAATGTCATGCGGCTCAACCCCGAGACTGAATCGGACGATTCGCCATGCCGCGGAGGTCGGCCAACGCCATAGTTTGGATTCGGATGTGAAAAGATGTCGATGGCGCAAGGCGCGGCCTGGACAAATAAAGTTGTGGTGATTGAGCCACCAGACAGAGGTCTCGGACATTGCTTGGCCAGCTAGCTCGACCAATGGTTTGTTAAAGTGGGTCGACGATCCGTACTAGCACACGTTTTTGAATAAAAAACAACAACTCTATGCGCGACTCGAACGACGAACCGCGGACAAACACGCTTTCAGATACCAATTACGCGTCGAGGAGAAGCTCGGGTAACACGAGGCGGCCGTCTGCACTCGTGCCGAGCGAAAACTCGGCGTACGTCGCTTCTTTTGTCACTTGGTCGACGTAGGCGCCCGGTCCGTGTGGCACGCCGCGGCGCCAGCTACCGTGGAAGAGGCGGTCGTCGCTGGACCAGACGCCGATACCATGCGGCCGGTCGTGGGTCCATTCGCCTTGGTACACTTCGCCGTCGATCCATTGGTACTTGCCAAACCCGTGCCGGGCGCCGTGCTCAAAGTGGCCCTCGTAAACGGCGCCGGACGCATACGTGCGTCGACCGTACCCGTGGTACACGCCGCGGGCAAACGCGCCGTCGTAGCGCCCTTCCGCGTACTTGACCTCGCCGCGCCCATGCATCTTGCTCGCTGCCATCTCGCCTTGGTACACATCTCCGTTCGCCCAATGGTAGGTGCCGAGGCCGGCGAGGACGCTTCCGACAAACGACCCAATATACGAGTCGCCGTTCCGAAAGAGCTTGCGACCGACGCCCGTGAAGCGCCCGTCGTGCCAAACAGAGGAAACATGGTCGTGACCCGCGAGGACGTCGCCGCTGGCCGATGTGAGCACGCCGGAGGCGACTGCGCCTTTGGTCCACTCGCCTAGTGCCGTCGAAATAAGCCGACAATAAATGATTGGGAATGGGCTCCAACCTTCGAACGTGTCGCCGTTGGCTGCGATCAAGATGCCCGGCCCGTGCATCTGGCGAGCATTTCATCAGCAGACCAAGCGTCAGAGATAGTTGCTCATCGCACCCGTCCGTTGTAGAACTCACCGACAAATTTGTCGCCGTTGCTCCAGAGGTACGTGCCTCGGCCATGGCGCTTGTCCTTGTAGTACATACCCTCGTGGCGGTCACCCGTGCGCGAGAAGATACGCGTGCCAAAGCTACAAACTCCATGTGTGCGATCGACAAATTAGGTTTTATACAGTACCCGTGCATCCGGTCGTCCTTCCAGGTGCCCTCGAGCACATCGCCGTCGTGCGCTTCAAACGTGCCTTTGCCGTGACGCTGTGGCGGGCTAGAGCCAGGAAGCACTTGGCCGCGGTACGAACTAGCGTCGGCATACGCGATCTTGACCACGCCGGCCTTGGCTTCGGTGGCGAGCACCACCAAGTGGCATTGCCGCCTCCGGACTTTGGCCTCGGACGCAAGGCTCATGGCCTGCATTTCGTGCGCGAGCTCGCCACGCGGCCGCCGCAAAGCGCTTGGCTTGGTCGGGCTCGCCTGCTGTACCTCACTGCACGAGGCTTCCTTGGCGAGCGTGTTGTGGCGACCGGCCTTGGCGCGGGGCATGGCCAACAAGACCAGTCACTAGTGTTGCTCCAAATGATGGTTACGCCTTGTTGCGATTAAATCAGACTATTTTAATTCAGAAATTGCAATTAGGCATACATTTAGCAGTATGAAAAGTTTTAAAAGAAAGGAGGCGCCGTATTTTATTGCACCCCAAATCTTGACAATCGAAAATTAGACCATCATTCCATGTTCGGATAATGAGGCGATATCCGGCATCCGCGGTGTTGTCGCCGAACTTGCCTCGAGTTTTCCTCGGTTCAAGCAGTTCCGGATCCCGCTTTTCCTGCCAATCGGGACAGAAGAATCGCTGTTTGATGCAAATCAAATCGGGACCGCCAGGCAACCAGCGCAGGAAGGTAGCTGGCTGGTGAGGCGTTGAAGCATTGTGTGATTCTTTAATTGCAATGAATAGATAACACCTTCTCAACCCAATTATACTAGTGAAGCCCCATCAAGCTCCAAACAGCTTACCAGCGCCGAGCAGTGCTCAGCCAGCCTCTATCCTTCAAGCCGGTCAAGGAGCGGTGAGCAACGTCTTCTATGGCTTATCATACAGGCACCAACTTCCTTAAAAGCCGTGCGAATATAGTATGCTGTGGCAAAGAGTTGGGTCCTGACGCATTGAGGTGCGAGTCTCGTGTCGTTTGTGTCCCCAATCCCTGTGAGAGACAAAATTGAGTACTAGTACATGTGTCTTGCTCTCGATGGCTTTCATGAGCACGACAGGCGGACAGCTATTCAACTCCTTGCACTTCGCACGCACTGGACACTGTGCCGCACTTCATCGTCGACCCCGGCCTCTTGGACGACATCAGGATGCGTGATTCCTGGCGTTGTGTACTTTAGCTGGACAAACGAGATTCCGAGTGCTTGGCATGGTGTCTGCTGCCTTCATTTGCATCCAAGCAAACGCTTAACTGTCACCGTTCTGGATCAAACCGCTGCCAAATGCAGTACACGCTGCATCCACCGCCTCATCGGGCACACAACCGATAGCGCGTTGTCAACACCCTCGACCCTGCAGCTTGCAATGGTCATCTCGAGGTCGTCTCGTGCACGTCCTCAGCCGTAGCTCCTTTGATTGATCGAGCATTGCTCAATTCCTCTTGTCAGACCATCCATACATCAACGTCACGACGCGCCACGTGCATGGTGTAAGCCAGAAACTTTGCGGCAAGGGAATTTGGCGAAGTCGAAGCCTTCTCGAGTTCATCGATGCGAGCTTGATACGTCAGAAAGTCACTTCCTCCAGATGCGTCGACCCTGCATGCCCGCAGCTGAACGCGCACATTTTCCGGAGTCAATGAGCCGCGGCTGTGATAAAGGGCTTGCACGTTTGTCTTCTACGCACGCACCGCTGGGAATCAATGGCTGCCAATGCGCACGTGGAAACGCTGAAACGACCATACGACGATTGTCGTCGCACACTTGGAGCGTAATCGCGCTGCGCACCGTCATTGACACGACGCACGTAGCAGCAAGGCCTGGCGACGGCCTCCAACTGGTAACAACAATACACCCAGAGAAAGCCTCCCACCGATAGACGTGCAATTGGATGGAAAGCAGCCCCGCTGTGTGCATGGCTTGCACTGGTATCTCTGGGCTCGCACAGGAACCGGCATGAGCTTCAGCGACGCGTCAGACGTATCGCAGCATGACGAAGGGGTGACCGTGTGCGCCGGTACGATCCCCGGCGCAGGATAATAGCCACCACTTGGCGGCATGTCCCGATCGCACGTAGATGCAGCCGCTTCATTATCCCCTGCGTAGCCCAGTGTTTTACTTCTTTGTAGCGCTCTACCTGCAGTTAGTGTGTATCGTTCATGCGCTGCATCGAAAGGAGCCGCCTTGACAAGCCCTGTTTCGTCAACGACGATGGAGCGACGCACTCTTGACAGAGTTGTTGGCGTAGACACGAAAAGCTGATGCTAGAAGGCCTGTGAACGAAGCCATCCAAGGTGGGTGATCGCATGGTTGCTGTTGGGCGGCGACTTCTTCTCGACACCTTTACAACGAAGCATACAATGCACGAGAGTTATTTGCGTTTCACCCATCCGCCAATCCGAGAGGCACCAAGAGGTGCACACGTGCACGAAAGGACACGTCTGGGCGCCATCCGGGGGTGTTTCGCCAACAGAAGGCTGATCCGGAATCAGGCCGCGCGATACGTGCGGCAGTCGGCGCTTGTTGCATCGACCTGGTCGGCGCGTCCTTCCAGAGCGCCGCCTCCGACAACGACCCGCGACGAGAACGACACGAGTGCTTTATACGCGAGCACTGTAAAGTGTTAATACTTGGCAGAAGATACTAGACTGCTTGTGTACCGGTAATGATTCGTGGGCGCTTGGGTGCCTTGTCCATGCAAGGCTGCACCCAGCGGCCTGTTGCTTACGACTGAACAACCGTCCGTTCATATCTATGGAGAGGGTTCAACTTTTCTTTCCAAACGCTACACCTGCTGGGTTGGTCGTGTGGCGGGCGGCAGACAACAGCAAGAACGACTCGATCTCGTTTGCTCATTTTCCGTTTTACCAACGCCTTCCCAACCACAATGAAGTTCACGTCCGTCATCCTCGCCGCCGCCGTCGCCACGGTCGCCGCCGTTCCCTGCGAACAGGGCACCCTCATCACCGCTTTCGGCGCCGTCATGATCTCGCCTGAGCATGCTGCGTGCCAGGAGGCTTCGGGCTTCACCCTCATCAACTTGGCGACGAACGTTCTGCCGACGCCCGAGCAGGCCAAGAAGATGGTCGCCAGCGCGGACTGCAAGGCGCTTTACGCCAACATGCAGAAGGTCTCTGCCACGGTCACGCCCTCGTGCACGATCGCCGGTGTCGAGCTCAGCACGATCGCCACGACGCCCTTGGAGAAGGTCTTGGCTGCCTTCGCCAGCGGTGGCAAGACCGATGCGGCGACGACGGCCCCCTCTTCTGGTAAGACCGACGCGGCGACGACGGTCCCCGCTGGCAAGCCCGCCAACACGACCACGACGGCCCCCGCCGACATCACGAAGCCCACGACCGCCACCGCCACGGCGACCCCGGCCCCGACCGCCAAGCCCTCGAGCGCCGCCTCGGCTGGTGTTGCCGTGGCTGCCCTCGCCTTGACCGCTGCCGCGGCCCTCCATTAAGATGCCCTCCCAAATCGGTTGTCTTTCTACTAACTACCAAAATGCAGTGTTGTTTTCGTGTTGCGATCTTTTGTTCCCGCGTGTCACGCAAGTAATTCTATTCCCAGCCGTGGTATTCAATACAAAATCTAGTACAATCGAAATGCGTAGTATTAAATTCGGGGGCGTTCAGTGCATAAACATTACGCATCACCACATCAAGGAGGTTTGTCCCAATGTCCCGCCTTGGCCAAAATTCTTTGAACTGCTGCCCAGAGCTGAGCTCTAGAGCTGTAATACGCTCAGCAGTCTCGCCCCGAGCTCTCGCCCTGTGGACCTAGCAGCTAGACCCAGGGTGTAGCTCCAAGGTGTGTTCCCATGCAGACCAAGCAGCTCATTTGTCGGAGCATTTTCTGTGCCGACAAGGAGCGGCGTGAGATGCAAACCTTCAGGTTGGGGAAGCTGCGCTTCGTGCACGAGCCCCAAAGAAGTTCCTTGGTACAGCTTGGCACAGCTTCTACGCGTGAGTAGCGCTTGAGGCAGAGAATTGTACGAGAAGAGGTGCCTATCATCGCGCTCGCTTCGTGGGCAAAACCTTGCTCTTGGGACAAAACCTTGCGCCAGTGTCGGCCTCCTCAGTCAGCACTTTCCAACTTGCCATCAAGTAGCGACCATGAAGACCTCTGCCCTTGTCCTTGCCATGGCTGGCGCCGCCGCCGCTGCGTCGGCCCCGTGTGACCCGGCGGCCTTGACCACGAAGCTCTTGCCCGTTGCGGGTACGCCGGCGTTCGCGGCGTGCGGCAAGGACGCCAGCTTCGACCTTCAGACCGTCATCACGGGTGCCATGCCGACGGACGCGCAGGTCAAGATGATTCTCGCAAGCACCAACTGCCAGGAGCTCTACAAGTCGCTCCAGACGAGCATTGGCGCCTTCACGCCCGTCTGCTCGATTGGCGGCGTCGAAACGACGGCCGTGAGCGCGCTCGAAATGTCCAAGGGCTTCGAGCTCATGCTCAAGGCCTTTGCCAGCCTCGCCGGCGCGACCCCGACCAAGGCTACCAATGGCACGGCCAACTCCAACTCTACGATCAAGGCCACGACGGTCCCGACCGCGGGGTCGCAGGCTACCGCCACGAGCACGCCCAAGCCGACCAGCGCGGCCTCCTCGGTCGTGCTTACCATGACGGCCGTCGTCGTCGCCGCGGCCCTCCACTAAGCGAAGGCATGACCCAGCCAGTGCACTACGGCGTAGTAGTATGACTCCATTCACATCAAATACATTGCCATCGACCTTTAACGCGTCAAGATCGTCCCTGTCGGCTGCATAAAGTGCGCCACGCGGTGCTGGCCCCTACTTTAACCTAGGGTTAAACGTGGGTTGCATCGTGGTGTGCGCTTGCTTGCGACAGCTACATATCCCAATGTCCTCTCGCTCAGATTCTCGCTCAGATTCGTGCCCACAACATCATCCTGCGCCTCTGTTGTCGTGGAGGCGACGCTGCAGGTGGTTGGGAAAAGCCTCGAGGACGAGTTTACGTTTAACCATGCTGTTTAAACAGGACGTTAAACTCGCCGGCCGCGTCCGCCGATCGCATTTTGAATCCTGCGCTCGACGGCTCTCCCGCGCTAGCACGGTCGAGCGATGCGATCCGCGCAGGACGAGCAGAAGTGGCTCCGCGCCATCGACGCACGCATCGAGCAGCTCCACGAGCAGTCGCCGGCGACGCCCGCCAAGTTCCCATCGGCGCTCCCGACGATACCCGAATCACCGCCCGTCGACGACGACCGGACGCCGACACGGAGGCCACCGGTGCACCCGTCGCGCCCGGACGTTGACGCCTCGAGTATCGACGATAGGTCGTCGCTCAAAGGTACAGACTCGCGGCGAGAGACGGTGCTGATGACTGCATAGACCTGACAGGGGTGCGTCGGCGGCCGCCACGCCCGCGCGCACCGCGGATGCCGGCCGAGGTCCTCGAGCACATGGAGATGGCGAGCAAGGTCGTGCACGAGATCGGCCAAGAGAATCTGAGTGGCCCCGAAAAGACGCTCGAATTCATCCGTGAACTGGGCGAGCGCAAGCGGCGGGCACTCGCGCGGCGGCAAGCGCGATGGCGCGAAGAGCATGCGACCGAGAGCGCGCGCCTCGAAGCGCAGCAGCACGAGATCTTTGAAGAGATCGAGCACCAGCAGTTCCAGCGGGTGTCCGAGTACGAGGAAGCGCTCGACTCGTTGGCGCGCAAGTACGACCGGCTTCTGGACGACGTTCACGCCAAGGACTCGATCATTACCGAGCTCACGCAGAAAGCTTCGTCGTCTCCCGTCCGAGTCCATCCGTCCGTATCCCAAAGCGAGCCAGAGGAAGACCCGATGGACGCTCTCAATGACGCCGTCTCGGACATCATCTCCGAGGCCGACGTCAAAGGCGAAGGTGGCAACCGATTTGGCCATCCGCACATCGAGGCCATGTTGATCTTTGTACAAGAGACGTACGAGGACCTCCGACGACAGTACCCCCGGCTCGATGCAAGCGTGGATGTTGCCTCCTGGGTCCTTCTCCTGCTGTTGCTCGTCTACGCCAGCTACGGTCTCTGCGCCTGTATGTGGACGACCGTCGAGCTTCGAGACGAACGGCTCATTCGCGACCTCGTCGTCACATTGCGTCGCCAAGTATCGACGCAGTAATATATCTATTTCACGCGACCACAGTGCCTTGAAACATTAAAACTACAATGAAAACGCCAACGAAACCACTCTAGTTTCCACCATGAGCAACGCCGCCGACGTGCTGCGTCTCGACGACGCCCCCGTGACGTCGCGGCCCCTGACGTCGTCCGGTCGCAAGGCGGCGTCCAAAGCCAAGTCCGATTTCCGGCGCTATTTCGACCAAGAAGAGCTGCCGCTCACGATCGAGGTACTTACTGGCTCACTCGATGCGCAACGCCAGTACTTATTTCTACTAGAACAACGTCATGGGCGACCGCCAAGTCGTATGGACGACGCCGGTTGAAGCTTTGGACTACCAGCATTTTCTTCCGATTTGCTTCTCGGGGCTCCAAGTAGACAGATTGCTTTCGATAGCTTGGCAACGGACTCACGATGTCGATGGCATAGGAAACGCTCGAGCCGTACCCGACCTTCGCCTACCGCGCGTGCATGGACTTGCTCGAGCATGGCATGGCCGACACGCGCGTTCTCCGCGCGCTCGCGGCTCTCATGCCACATGTCAAGAGCGCGCTTGGCACACGGGACAAGGAGGTCGTGCACCGGACGCTCCTCGTTCTGCAGCAGCTCGCCGTCTGCCAAGGTCCACTTCCCGGTTGAAATTGTATAATTGAGGCAGGTGGTAGGCGTCGGCGAGGCGCTGTCGGAATACTACCGGTCGATCCTGCCGTTGTGCAACCTCCTCAAGGACAAGCACTTGGGCACGGGCGACAGCATGACAAAGGCGCTCATCCAAGAGACGCTCGAGATCCTCGAGGGCTACGGGAAGGACGACGCGTACCACCAAATCCAGCAGCACGTGCCCGCATTCCAGCACAGCAACAACATCAAATGAGCTTATGGATCCAAAGCCGATATGAAATTTGTCGATTTTAGATATATATCTTTCAATGTATCAAGACATGGGCGGCCCGACGACGGGTGTTTTTGACGCGTGCGACGCGCCAACGTTGGTGGCAACCCAAAGGGCACTGGCAGAGCACAAGGGGTAGGGCAAATCAGCTAGTTTCCATGAGCCTGTCGACTACGTCCGCGTGGCTTTGGCCGCCGCGAGATTGCGGACGGCAAAGACCTGGCAGAGCTCGGGGTAGCTCCACGCGTACTGCAGTGCGTGGTCGCACGCGTCGACGGCGTGCGCCCACATGCCTTTTTCACTGCGGAGATGCGCGAGGAGGATACCGGGCGCCGCACTGCGCGTGTAGACGAGCGCTTGCATCAAGTAGGCCTGCGCGACTTCGTACGTCCCGCGGTGCGTCTCGCTGAGCGCGACGTACGCGGGCACGAACGCAGGGCTCACGCCCAAGCTCGCTTCGTAGCAGGCGGTGGCGTCGCGGCCGTTGGCGGCCTCAAAGTGCCCGAGCCCGAGGTAGATCCACGTGAGCGCCGGCGGCGCCGTGTCGACATAGAGAAAGTACCACGCGAGGCACTGGTGCAGCACCGAGTGCGCGGCGAACGTGGCGCTCTTTAAATAGTGTTGGCTCAGCGCCACGTACGGTGCCACGTACTCGGGCGAGCGCGTGATTGCGGCGGTCCAGGACGCCACGGCACGGACACTGTCGCCGCTCAGCGTCGCGTGGTAGAGCCCTTGCAGGTACAAAAGCGTTGGGGACGTCGTGTCGACAGCGGCGAGTCGAAGACGGGATCCTGTGCGGTCGCGCCGGACGATATCGTTGTGGAAGCGGTGCGCCTACCGCGCGTTTCGCAGAGCTTTTCGGACTGGAAGGATACCTGTATCCAGAGCGACGTGGGAAGGCGCGACGTGCAGTGCTGCAAGACAGTCGCTGCGTCGTCGTAGCAGTGGCACAGATGGAGGTAGCTGGCGTGTTCGAGGTCTGCAACGACATAGAGCGCGTGGGTCGGCGGCAGCAGGGTCCGGGCGCGCACGAGCTGGTCGTGCGCCTCGAGGAAATGCCCACGCCGCCGATGCTCCAAGGCGGCATGCAAGCATGCGACGCCGTCAGACGTGTGGCGGTCGAGCGACACACGGTGGAGGAGTGTGGCAAAGGCGTCGTCGACGTCGCGCCCGTGGAAGATGTCAAAGTACGCTTGCACCTTGTAGTCGTCGGGCAGACAGCGCGCCGCTTGGCGGTTCTGAAGAGCGTCGCGCGCTTCGTAAAAGATGGCTTCTTTCTCAAGCGCCCGCAGCATCTCTTCCATGTCGCGCAGGTCCTCGGGCGACCGTCCGTGGTGCAGCGCCGACAAGACATCGCAGAGCGCGAGCGTATATCGGTGTAAGTGTGCATACGCAATGCCCCGCCGTAAATACAAGTCGCTTGAGCTACGTTCAAGACGGTGATACGTGTGAGCAAGACGCAAAGCATTGCATGTCGGACCTCGGATCGTACGCCAGCGCGGCGGTCGTGTCGGCGATGACGCACTCAAACTGCTGGAGGGCCTCGTAGACACACGAGCGCAAGTCGTAGAGGTGGCTAATGTGGGCGCGCCGGCGCGGCGTCTCGGCCAACGACGCTGTGAGGAGGCGCGAGTAGATGGCGAGCGCCTGCGTGTAGAGTCCGTTGTGCGAGAAGGACCCGGCGATCGAGAGCTCCATGTGGTGCACAGAGGGCGGGGCGGCCTTGGCGGTCGCGCGGACTGGCGCAGCTGCAGTGCGCCTCTTCTCCCGCTTCTGCTGCAGCGCAAAGAGCGTGACGGCGCTCATGGACGCGAGCAAGGCGACGTGCCACACGCGGTCCATGGCGAAAGCGATCCGAATACGCCGACCGGATACCGCCAGATCTTGACAAAATGGACGTGTTTATTACACCTGGCATCTTGGGTAAGAAGACAGCACCAAGTCGCCAAGTCGCCAAAATGGCGCCAACAAGAGCGAGCCAAATGGACCACCTTCAACGTGCGCTGAGAATTCTGCGACTGCAACGGGCGCACAGTGTGCGACGCAGTAACGCGGCGCGGGTGCAAAAAAGCCGCAGCAGCTTGTCGCGTCGACGCCCACGTAGCTGAGGCAGCGCAATCGTTGGAGCAAGCTTGGTGGCGACTGTCAATATTGCTGCGCTCTTCCAAATCCGCTGGTTGAGAGGTCACGGCGCACGAGACTGTGTTCTTAGTGTCGTGACAGCGTCTTTGATATGAAGCTCTACTAGTACTTCGCCGCTGTCGGCCGCGACGACGAATCCGCCAAGTTCCAAAAGCGGTGAGTGGTGGACATAGGACGAAGGAGCGATGCTGGGCGAGAATTGAGCGACATGACAGATCGCAGCCTCGTATGAGTGCTTTTCGCTTGAAGGTGGAGAGACTAGATCGCCGCACCGCCACGATGTGGGACCATCGGCTTATCAATCGGAATCCGGGGTATCCGGATACTCTGCTGCCTTTGACAACCTTACGCTTTCACGCTGGGACTGTGGTCACAATCCGCACGACAACCAATGAACAAATGAAAAAATCAACCGGCACCACAACCAGCGACGCTACGAGCCCTGGATTGCTTATCGTATTGTGCTCGCTTTTTCCTGCCAGATATTCCAAGTGATGGTCTTTGCTACGCCGCCATTGGATGTCCGGTTGGGTTGACCATCACTCACACTCGCCCAAATGCAAACAACCCAAAGGACTCAACTCCAAATGCCAGAAACTAATTTACCAGCTACGACTACTGACGAGACTATGGACTACTCGACGATCCAGCAAGACGAAGTTGAAGCGCTTGAAGCGATCTTTGACGCCCCCGCGACAACCTCCGACGACGGGATCGTGACGCTCGCCCTCCCTTCGGTTGGCACATTTACGTTTGCCCGCTCTCCGACCTACCCGATCGACAAGACGTGCCCGCACATCTCAATTTCGCACCTGCACGACAAGTACGCTACGCTGGCCCGTATTCCCGAGGTCATCGCGGCCATGGAGGCGGCGGGCACAGCCGCGGTCGCCCACGGCCAAGTGTGTCTCTTTGAGATGGTCGACGCTGGTGTCGCCTTGCTTCGCGCCCAGCGTGACGCTGCCAAGGAGAACAAGCCACCACCACCAGCCCTCTCGCGCCGGTCGTCCAGTAACAGTAGCAAGCCGCCCGCGCCCGACAAGACCAAGAAGAAGGCACCTGCAGCAATGTCGCCGAAAGCAGAGAAGAAGTCGATGCGCACCGCGACCGACGTCATCCATCGCATCATGTGGGACGACAGCATTACGCAAGCCGAGGTCATTGTCGGGTACCTCGATCGGTTTGTTGGTACGGTCGAGCGCAACTTTGCGGCGTTCAACTGGGCCGACATTGCGACCTTGTCGCAGAACGAGACGGCGATCCCGCAGCACCGAATCCAGTACTTTAAATGGCGCGACGAGATCATTTGGGACAAGCGCGTGCGACTCGACCGCGTCTTTGGCTCGTCTGGTCACGACATGATTGTGTTCTCACCGTCAACGGCCGCCCCTGCACCGTCGTCTGCCGTTGCCGCCGTGACGTCGGCCAATGTTACGTTCCATGCCAACACGGACCGCCCGAACGCCTTCTTGTGCTTTCGCATCACGGACTCTAGCGTCGTCGACGCTTGCAAGCACGCGCAAGCTGCGATTCTTCGCGGCGACCCGCGACTGGCACCGTCGGCGCTCGCACCAGCGCGGTTTCACTGCACGCTGCTGCTGATGCGCCTCAAGACCCTCGACGAGATTGACGTCGCCAAGCGCGTGTTGGCCGAATGCCAGGGGTTACTGCACACTCTGTGCACATCGAATGTCACATTCGACGGCGTCAGCGCTTTTGGCAACCGCGTCGTCTACGCCAAGGTAGCGCCGCACGACGGACTGCTGACGCTCGTGGCGACGCTAAAAGCGCGGTTCGCGGCCGCCGGCATCTCGCTCGTCGGTAACCACGACGTGTACCAGCCGCACGTGACGCTGTGCAAGCTCTCGCGGGACCTCAGTCGCACGGTGGCGACGATCGATGCGCGGTCGTACGCAGCCTACGCTTCGCACGAGCTTGGGTCGCAGGCGATCGCTGGCATGCATCTCTGCGCCATGGGCAACAACGGTCACGTGGCGCCCGACGGTTTCTATCAACAGATTGTGCCGCCCATTGCCAATGTTGCGCCGACGCTCACGGCGCCGTGGGACGTTGCCGCTGAGAAGAACCACATTTATGTGTTGCGGGGCGTGCCAGGCGCCGGCAAGAGCTCGGTCGCGCGCCATTTGCAGTCGTTCGCCGACAGCGCGGGTCTCTCACACCGCGTCTGCAGCGCCGACGCATTATTTTTGCTAGCCAACGGCAGATATGCGTATGACAAGGCCCGGCTCGCCGAGGCCCATGCGTCTTGCCAGAGAGCGTTCGAAGACGCGATCGCAGCAGCTGTGGATGTTATCATTGTCGACAACACGAATCTCCAGGCGCGCCACGTGCAAGCGTACGTCGACCTGTCGGCGTCGAGCAGCTACCGCGTGCATGTGCTGGAGATTGAGGCGCCTGACGTCGCAGCGGCCGTGCGCCGGTCCTGCCACGCCGTGCCGCTTGAAAAGTACGGGGGTGGGCCCGAGCCGTACACAGCGTCCCATGTCTTCACCAAGAAGCTTGCCTATGTGTCCTCGACAGCGACGCATTTGCCTGTGGTGACCGCGCCTGCTGACGTGGCGTATGCGGCCATTTTCCTGGACAAGCCGTCGCAACAGCGGCTTCTGAGTGCAGTGGCGCCGGTGCACGCCAAGGTACTCTGCGACCACGTGACGGTCGCGTATGCCCCGAGCGCCGACGTCCTCTCGTCGCTGCACCTCGGAACGACTGTCAAGCTGCTCGTGACGGGTGACGTGTGTGATGCCGAGACGCAAGCCGTGCGCGTCCAGTGTCCGGACGTCGGCGCGTGGACCAACGGCCCGCACCCGCACATTACGATCTCGATTGCGCCGCATGGCGCCGCCAAGAACAGCGCGCGCCTTTTCGCGTCGATGGCCGTCAACAAGTGGCAGGCGCCGCTTGCCCTGTCCGGTGCCGTGGGCCTCCGCGTCGGGTCGTCCTCGCTGACGACATTTGCGACCTGCGCGGACGCCCTCGCACCGGTGGCCACAAACGCGGCGTCGACGTATGCGCTCAAGTCACCGGACGTCACGTCGGTGCACGTGTTTGATTTTGATTTGACGCTTGTGCGCGCTCCGGTGCGCCATCACGGCGAGTCGGTCTTGACGCCGTCCGAGGTTGCGTCGATCGGACCGGATTGGTACAAGTCGCCCATGAGCTTGCACCCGCGGCAGAAGCTGTTGCCGCTGCCCGCGCTCTCGCTCATGAAGGACGTGCTCGGTGCAACGACGTCGACCGGTGTCTTGCTCACGGCGCGCCTCGAGCCGCTGCGGGACGCCGTGCTCCGGGTGCTCGACACGTTTGGTGTCACGCCGGACGCCGCCTTTTTCAAGCCGCTCGCGCAGCACCAGGTCCTTCATGGCGATGTCGTCGCGCTCCGGGCCGCCGAGAACGCAGCGTACAAGATCAGTGTCATCGCCAACCTCGTCGCGCCGTCGCACGTGACGCACCTTGTCGTGTACGAGGACGACGACGCGATTCTGTCGGCGCTCACGACGTGGGCCGCTGTCTTTAGCGTTCATCGGCCGTCGCTCGACATTCGTATCGTTGACGCCAAGCGTCTGCTTCCGCCCGCCAACTCGCTCTCGGTGCTGCAGTTTCTCAAGAACCTCGGGTGCATTCCGTCACCTGCCCACGTCACGCACACGCAGCACGTTTTGTCCGAGCTCCAGCGGCTCTCGGGCGCTCTCCACGCTCTGCCGTTTGGCTCGCACGCGCTCGGACGCAAAGGCGACATTGACGTCTGCCTCGTCGTCCACGAGTCGCCGCGCCAGGCAGTGATTCGCGTCGCAAAGCTCTTGCGTGATGCGGGTATAACCGATGTGTACGAGTCGGGGAGTGCCCGCTGTCCGCTGCTCAAGGTGCGCTGGCTGGACCCATATGCGCCGCCGGTCGAGCTCGATGTTGTGTTTGTGGAAGCGCGCGTGTTTGCGGCCCGTCGCGATGAACCGGTGAGCGCGCTCTCGACAGACCCCAACGACCGCGCGCTCCTTGGACTGCAGCACCTCGCGACCATCACGGCGCTCGTGGCGTCCAGTCCCATCTCGCTCGACACGTTTGCGCGCGTCGTCGACGTGGTGCTCTTGCTCCTCAAGGCGCAGTGCCTCCACGGCACGCATGTGAATGGACTCCCGAGCTTCAAGCTCACGCACCTCGTGGCCACGTACGTGGCGTCACTGCCGCGTTCGATGCCGCTCAAGGACGTGGTCGCGGGCTTCTTTGCTTACGCCGCGTCCCTCTCGGCCGTTCAATGGGAAGACGACATCTTGGCTCACGTGTTTGTGGCACCGCACTTGGTGCGCGTCGCGCAGCAGGCGTTCTTGCATGCCAAGGCGGTGACAGCCGACGCGTCATTTCCGTCGTCCGGCACGCTCAGTCGCCTCGTGCAGCGACGCGACCCAAGCGTCCATGAGACATTGTCGCTGGTTGTGACGCTTACGCCGTCGATGACCGAGACAAAGTGGACTCTCTCGCAGCAACTCAAGTGGAAGTTGGCCAAGTGGCTCCGAGACTTGACCAAAAACGGCGTTGAGCTCGACCCGATGCCGTCCATGGCGCCGACGCTGTGCTTTGGCATCTTGGGCGATGTTATGGCGACCCAGACGCAGATGGAGACGTTTGCGACCGCCATCGCGACCGAGTCGCACGGTGCGATTCGCGTGCAGGTGGTCTGCGGTTCGATTCCGGCTCCTGGATCAACGTAGCCTATTCAAGAAATGGCCATCGACGCAGGCTAGACCACACCCTTTGTCGTGTAGGAACTACTACACAGATGAAAAAGTCGGACAAGAGTATTTAGTTTCAAATGACTCATTGAATACTAGTCTGGCACCGATTCAAGTCTTATGATTCAAGTCTTATGGCTAGGGTTTTCGTAGGCGCCGAGCGTCTTCGGGGATGAGACCATGCACCACGTTCACCGTCCTCGTGAGTGTGGAATGGAAAAGCAGCAAGCGTTGACCAGACCATGACATTTCGCGCCGCCTTCCTAGTAGGCTGTAACGACTTCAAGCGACGAGCAACTACTCGCATTAACTTGGTCGGCAACAAAATTCGTCTATAATCGAAGCGCAGATGCAAGCTACGTCGCGCGCCTTTGGGTCGTTTGGCTGGACACGCTGAGAAAGTCGCACATATTCTGCTCATCGTACTTGATGCGCCATGTCAGATTGTGCGAGGCGAACAACTCTGCGAATGTCTCGACAGGCGTCGTATCCGAGAGGTCAAGAGCAAGCGTGACGTTTGAGCAGGTTCCGAGCGCGTTAATGAGCTCCCGTGCGCCGTCGACGTCCAAAAAGTCGTTGAATCGGAAGTCCAGCATCAGGCCGGACGCGTGATGCGTGTCGCGCAGGACCTGCGCCATTTCTGTCGCGCCGGCATCGTCAAGACCCGCCCTTGTCAGCCCCACGCGGTGCACGCCGACGTCGATCCATGAGCGCAAGTTCGTTGCGAGCTCCGTGTAGAGGATGTCGGCGTATTCGAGGCCGTACCACGACACTTCGTTGAGGCACGGCGAGGACGAGATCCACTGGAGAAGGCGACGCGCCACAAGCTCCGAGCACTCGACATTGTCGATGCACACGACACGGAGACTCGTTGTCGTTGCCTCTGCCAGAGCCATCCCGTCTAGCCTGAGCTCTTGCAGCGACGTTAGCTGGGGCAGCGCCGCGCCAAAACAACTGAGGAGGTCCTGCTGACGTCCACGCAGTGTGATATCGAGGTGCGTGATCTTGGCCAAGTCGACGAGACCGAAAAGGCCTTCTACGCGGGCGACATCTTCGGCGTTGATGCTCAGTTGCGTCAGAGCATGGAGCGGAGTGTGCAGCCCCACAAGCATGTCGGCGATGCTATCGGCACCTTGCAGCGTAAGACTCGGCACGGTTGCGAGCGCCTTTGCAAACGCGAGGTCGTCGTCATGGAGAGACCACAGCGGGCCAGCCGAGCTGTACGAGGTGAAGTCAAGCCGGTGGAATCCGATGTGGGTCGTTGGACCCGCGATCAGCCAGGCCGTAATGGCCGCCGACCACATCAGCGCTCGTGCAACGACACTCGAGTAGCCGTCGTACACCCATTCAAGACAACGGATGTGATGCGCCGCCTCCAGCACGGACGTGTGGCACTGGTCGACAGCGTTGACTTGAATGCTGCCGAGATGGTCGCACCGGCGTAGCGCTCGACAGACGCGCGCCACGTTGTCGTCGCTCGTTGGCATCGAAAGGCCGACGCGCGATAGCTTGGCCGGCCATTTGTCGGCGGTCGCACAAAGAAAGTCCAGAAAGGCGGCGCTGCAGGGGACATCGCAGCGCTCAAAATTTCGGAAAAAGACGTCTTCGGCACGGACCGAGGCGATGGCCGGCATCGCAGCCAGTGCGGCGGCACGGTCTTTGTGCTTGAGCCCCAACACTGAGAGGTGCGGCCAGCAACTCGGAGCCTCGGTGCGCATCTCCAGACGCTCCATCAGCCGCTGGAGCGACGACAGCAACGGCGTCAACGGCACGGCCTCGAGCAACGTGAGGACGCCGGCGACATCGTGTATGAACTGCGCAATGTTGATCACGACAGCTTCCACGGTCATGACCGTGTCCATGGGTTGCGACGATTTGGCGACCTTGGCGACCTGAGCGACCTGGGTCGACATTCTGAGTGCGCGCTTTTGCGCTTGCGTGCACTTTTGATCGGGTCGTGGGCGTATCAGGAAGTGCATTTTATCGAATCTGGCAGTTTTGGTTGCCAGCCAATCCACGCGCATGATTTTTGGATGCGTCAATCAAATGTCCTCAAGCGGCTGACCAGGACACGTGGCAACGTGAGAAGGCGCGAGCGTATCGTGTCATATTGCACTTGCATTTCGTGAGCACAACGACTCTAAACGGTTGCTTTGAGCTCAGAGACGCCAGAGGCGGTCGTGCGCCTGTGGTTGGTGTACATGCGAATGACCTCGGACGCAAGAGTAGATGCAGCGCGACGCCTCGCTCGGCCGAAGGCTACGGTGCGGGCGCCTACATCTCCACGATCGCACATCGTTAATCTTTATGTTGACAAGCCACCGACGAGCCATCGCCACGGACAACCCAGTCGACACAACGTTTAAAATATGTATTTTGGGAGGCTTTCTAGATTCGATTTCGCAGGTATTCGGGCTGCAGGCACCCTTGTGCACCACAGTTTTTGATGAGTGCACAGGACGGGACCGTTGGTTGCTGAGCTAGCATGGCTATCGCCCACAACCGCGCTGGCCATTGAAGCCGTCGCTGTCTGCATCGCCCACAATATGAGCTCGTCGACTTGAGCGGCCAGCTTTCTTGAGGCGGTACCGGTGTCCTCGCGTCGACGAGCAGAACCCGACTTTTCTAATCTACGGCGCTATGTATGCACTGCACTTTTCGTACGCTTGGCGGACAGGCAGTTTGCCCTTTAGACAGACGGCGTATGCCCCAAAGTGGGGCCAGACGTTGCTGCCGGCTCCAGGATTCTGGTTCGCAGGATATCTTGACCGATTTCATATTCGAATTTGGCATGTGCGGTATCGTCGCCCACTTGGAGCTGCCGGGTCCCTCGCCTGTTGTGCTGCCGCCGCCCGACCTCGACGCGGCCTTGGGCCTGCTGCACCACCGCGGTCCCGACGGCCGTGGGACGTGGACCGACGCGAACACCGTCGGGCTGGGCCACACGCGGCTCTCGATCATGGACGTGGCCCACGGCGCGCAGCCGCTGCACGCGCCGGACGACGTCCACGCGGTCGTCAACGGCGAGTTTTACGAGTTCGAGGCGATCCGCGCGGCCTTGATTTGTGACGGACACGCCTTTGCGACGCAGAGCGACTCGGAGATCCTTGTGCATCTCTACCGCGAGCACGGCGTCGACGCGCTTGAGCACCTTGTCGGCGAGTTTGCCTTTGTGCTCTGGGACGGCGCGCGCCAGCAGCTATTCTGTGGCCGCGACCGGTACGGCATCAAGCCGCTCTTCTACACCCAAGTAGGCAACCGCTTCCTTGTCGCAAGCGAGGCCAAAGCATTTCTAGCGCTCGGATGGTCGCCGCAGTGGGATGTGCATGCGATTGCGAGCAGCGGGTACTTCTCCGACCAACGCACGCTCTTTCTTGGTGTCAACAAGCTGCCGCCTGCGCACTCGCTGGTGGTGTCGGCCTCGGGGTCGAAGCGTCTCGAGTGCTACTTTCGTCCGACGTTTCCGCACAAGCGCCAAGTCGATCCGCGCTCGCTCGACGAGATGGTTGCTGGCGTGCGCGACCGGCTCTACGACGCGGTGCGCACGCGTCTCCGCAGCGACGTACCCGTGGCCGTGTACCTCAGGTACAGCAGTCTCTCGGACCATGGCACAATGTACTAAACGACTAATGTGGGCGATCGATCTAGTGGCGGCATCGACTCGTCGTCGGTGCTCGGTATCGCACTCGACATTTTGCGTCAAACCGATCCGGATGCGCAACTAGACGCGTTTACCATTTCGTTCACCGACCGCGTACACGGAATGCATGAATCACTTTAGTGTAAAAAATGGTGTAGGAGTACGACGGCGTCGGCTATGACGAAGGCGACGTGGCCGCCCGCACCGCGTCGCACGCGCGCACGCGTCACCACGTGCTCAAGATCACGCAAGCCGACTTGACCGCGGCCTTTGCCGACGCCGTGTGGCACTGGGAAGCACCGCTCAACGATTTCAACGGCGCCGCCAAGTTTCTCCTCTCGCGCTACGTGCGCGACGCTGGTTTCAAGGTCGTCCTCACAGGTCCTTCCTCTCTTTTCACCACTAAGAACCTCAACCTTGAACTAGGTGAAGGCGCGGACGAGCATTTTGCTGGCTACTCGATGTTTTACCCGGATTTCTTTCGGCACGAGACAACGCCGCCTGCACTGCCCACCGCCGACCGCGTCGCTCGCTTGGCGGCGATTGAAGCAACCGACATGAAAATGTGGAGTGCGATCGGCTGTGTGCCTATGTCGTTCGACGACGAAGTCAAAAGCCGAACTCGCCTTGCGAACGTGAGTATTCATCGACTCTTGTCGACGATTTGCGGGCTCCCCAAGCCGCTGTTTCTGCCTCCCATTGTGCCATCGACCATGGACGCGTACGTGCACGCGCTGTCGCCGGATGAGCGGCGTCTGGCGCGGGACGAGTGGCACCCGCTGCACACGGCGCTGTGCCTAGAGCCGCGCGTGCACTTGCCCAACTACTTGTGCAACCACTTGGGCGACCGCAGCGAGATGGCGCACTCGATCGAAGGTCGCGTGCCGTTTTTGGACC